TGCATTCCTCCTCTCTTCATTCGTGCTACATGCCATGCCCATCTTATCCTCCTTGACTTGATCATTATACTTTGAGAAGAGTACAAGTTATGAAGCTCCTCCTTTTGCAATCTTCTATATATATATATAAAATGAGCAGCTTCATAACTTGTCCAAGTATAATTAGAATGATTAAGTGAAAGAGGGTGAGATGGGCAGGGCAAGTAGCACGATTGGAGGGTAGGAGGAATGCATATAGCATATTGGTGGGAAAGCCAGAAGGAATGAGACCACTGGGAAGACCAAGACGTAGGTGGGTGTGCAATTTTAAAATGGATCTTAGAGAGACTGGATGAGATGGTGTGGATTGAATAGATCTGGCTCAGGATATGTACCCTTTGAGGGTTATCGTGAACACGATAATGAACCTTCGGGTTACATAAAGTGCTGGAAAATTCTTGAGTAGCTGCAGAATTGGCGGCTCCTCCAGAAGGGCTCAGTTCCATGAGTAAGTAAGTAATTAATTAATCTGATAGGCAAGAAGAAACTATTCGAGACAGTTTCTTCCAAGATTTTTCACCGTTACATGTACAGTCGTTGAAGATAAGTGCTGCACTATCGCATGTCCATCTCAAAATCCCATTATAAAAACTGGGTCACATGAATCTCGAATTCCTTCGATTTCTCTCCTCTGAAGACGCTAACATTTCAGATTTGATGTTCGATTTATCGACAGTTTACTTAACACTATATTCAGGATCAGGGACAGCTCAGCAACATAGTGAATACGACTTGGGCTGGGATATCCGGAAATGTTTATTCGATTCCAGGCACGAGACGATTTTCTTCACAACACCCAGCACCCAGCCACCTACCCAGTGCGTCCCTGGGGCTGTTGTCTGGTAATGAAATGGCCCGAGAGTGAATCTGGCTACTCCTCGACATCCGTTAGCTAGTTTAGGAATGCAGGGAGCTATAACTGCACTCCACTATACGTCTTCATGATTTTGTGCTGAATCAAGCACAAGAATGACTTTACACCTAAGCATAACGATGTCAGTAGTAAGTGTGATTATTTATAGCCAAGTGGCTCGTTGATCAATCAATATCGGGTTTTAA